TAAAGGGAAGTGGGTGTTTCGGTTGCAGGCATCCATCCTCTCTGTCAATTTGAAGATACATTTTATTGAATACAACACTGTGTAGGTTAAAAAAACTCTGCAGTTCTCTCTACAGGAAATAACTTTTCACTATAACAGAATATGTTCATATCCGGTTTGTTGACATTACAGTTGATTTTTGAATATCTGTTTCTCAGAGATTTGTTGTTCAGCCTTGAAATGAGCACTAAAGTAAATAACTATACTCATGCACACATAAATGAATGCCCTTACCCATCTAGGATTTGACTAAATGCATTTATTTGACCTAAATATGATGCCATTGTTGATGCAGCCATTATAGGAATAGCAGAATGTGAAGAAATTAGAGATTTCACAGACATTTGGTGTGCTTCAACATAAGCACACATGCAGGAGATCCATGCAACAAATCCATAAAAAATAACAATGTAGAGGTGTTGCAATTTCCTGACTATATACAGTATCTCTCCACTGTGACCTGACTGTGCATGTAAAACCTTTCAGGGTAATAATTATAAAACAGAAACATTGATTCAAGCGGCTGCAGAAATGTTAACAGTGCCAACTTTAGGTTTGATTGAACATGTGTGCTCAAAGAAGAAATGTTTCTAAACCACCATCCGATATTAATTTACCAGATGACAGCTATGTAAGGACATTAAATTATTCCAAACATTATGTAAATATTCAACAGGGGGTTTTAAAAAGAGCTGGACATATACCCATGCTTATTAACTGTGATCGCTACTGAATGCAAGTCCATCACCTGGAAGAAAAAGCATGCGTCAGTGGAGGAAATAGGAACAGGGATCAAGCCTATAATTATTCCATTTGTGAAGAGACAAATGGACAATGCTGTCAAATAAGGTTGTGAGAAAAAAAATCCACTTTAAAGGTTAGATTTGTGAGCACACTGTGCATACAACACACATGGAGCTTGGTCTCCACCTACTGGCAAATAAAAAAGCAATGCCTTTAGAAAGAATAGGGGAAAGAGTCTCTAGTTCGACAAAAACATCGACAACAGGATAGTAAAATAGACTTTGTAGCCAAAATTGAATTAATCACATTTTCCATTTTCGCGTATTACTTTAGCCTGCAGTAAAATATGACTTTGCTTAGACTCAGCACACAAGTCACTTCAAATGTCATTTTCACAAACATCTCTTCACTGCAGTGACAAACAGTCACATAGAAGCATCATGATCCCATTTTACTTTGTAATTAAAGGTTTAAATCTCACTTAATATATAACTACTTTCAGAATAGTTTGGGCATAAAAGAAAGGAACTCTGAATCTTATCATAAAAACAGTGCACTGACCTCAGGAACATGTCTTGCTTGTGTTAAATGATTTCTTCTCTCTCGGAATGCATTCACACGTTCTTTTCACCTTGAACACCACAATACCAATCAGAGGGAGCGATTGGGAAATGCAGGGATTGTTTTTATTTTAGGAAAGTTTAACAAGCAATCAGCCTTGCTTATCAACAGCCTGAGGTTACAAGACAACAGCAGATTTGCAAGCAGATCTTTCACGCCACACTCCCAGGGCTACGACCACATAAGAAAATATATATGGGAATACAAATCCCTTATTGTCTGCGAATGGCATGAACAGAACTACTTGTCAAATGATCCCTACTTTTCCTTTATGAACTGGCATAGCACAAGTGCCACAGTATGTAGTCCTGCATTGTTCCCAGCAGCTCTAGCAGCCACTCGAAGCCATTAGAGAAATGTTCACACAAAATCGTTCTACGTTACCAACTACCTGACCTTTTCCTTTGACATGTGACACATTTCTTTAAGTGTAAATGTTGCACCATGACAACGGTTTCTAGGCATTTTGGCCATAAAATAAACAAAATACCTAGCGGGACATGTCAATGCATTCATAACGATAGCTACACAATTATGTTTTCATTGTATAAGACTATATAAAGAAAATGTACCATTAAACAGGATGTCATATCCAAACTATAGATAGTGACAGAGAAAATCAATCTTGTGTATAACATCATCTTAGCCAGTCCAGAGACAGTATACTAGGGGCTTTGAAAGCTGGATTCAGGTGCAGTGTTCATAGTAAGCACATTTTCTCATGTCATTTTACCAGTGGAAGTGATTTCTTTGATTGGGCTGTCTGGGCAAGTAGACAGCTTGTCTTCTTTGCATTTGGCATTTCTGAACAGACGGTACATAACAGTGTTGCTGACAGGCACTTTAAGCCAGCATCTGTTGGAAAACGTGTGATCTAGCGTCTTTGGCATGACTGAATTAGCTATCGTCAAAGACAACAAACTCATGTTATCCTTTAATATGACAATCATGAAGACATTTCAGAGGCACTAATAGCTTTCAGCTAGGAATGTAACAGCCAAACGGGCCTGGATACAATTCGTCCCCATGAATTGCAACTGAATTTTCGATGGGGGATGGACATGCCCATCCTCATTGCAAGAGAATCAGGCAAGAGAGTCCTGACTGGACGCTCAACAAACCTACTAATGATACAACTAAGTATGCTAAAAACCAACTGTCAGACCAAAATCAAACTGTCACAGACTTAAGGGAAAAGCGCATGTTGGCTCAATGGCAAAGCTTCAGAGAGACACAGCCACAATTAAGGTTATCAATATCACCTGGGCTTTATCCTACTATGACAAGGTCCATCAACGTGTTGTCATGCTTGAAAGGCCCTGTACACCGACACAGGTGTTTTGACTTATTCTGGTTTATTGGAATTGGCTTAGGTTGAAGTTAGGCTGAGATATGCCTGAATTACCAGGGGCCACCACATTTTTTGAAAAATGATAAAAGGTGTAATTCAAAACTATTAGCAGGATTAGGCCGATGTCACTCAAGCACTGTTGGCACGTGCCAGCAGCACACTCGTTAGACAATGGCTGAGTTAAGTGGAAACACCTGTGCTCAATCAGAGCTCAACACAAACCACACCAACATGTTACAATCACTCACAATGAAAAATGCTGTTTTCATCACTGCTAGAGTAACTAAAAAGTTATATTAACATGGTTATTTACTTGATCTGTAAGCTTAGTATTTTCCTATCTTGTTAGCTCCTTCACATGAGTTTGTTGCCAGGTACAAACAGCATCAATATACTTGATATATGGGTAAACAAAATAGTAGAGAGCAGCAAAGAAAATATAATACATGCCTGTTTAAATATGGTAAGTTATATATTATAAAATAATTGCAAGGTTATGAAAGCATGGAACCAAGCAAGGCATGTCAATATTCGCATTATTACAAAAATATATACAGTATATAACCAGTTAAGGAAGAGACCATAATAGCAAAAGTTAACAAGACTGCATCTACAAGAAAGGCATTACATAAACCAAACAAAGATCTGAGTGAATCATCATCACTTTCTCAAGAACAGTGTTAAAAGTATTAATGATATCAAAATGTCTGAATATGAGTGTCATGAAAACCATTCACCTTGTGTTCTCCAGTAATATAGCGTGTGCTGCACAAGTCACATCCAACGTTAAACTTTCAGCATAATTATGCAACACTAAATGTAATTTATTATTGTCAGCTTCAGTTGACTAATGTAACCTGCCTGCTATTTGACAAATTCCATTAATTTTTATGCTCATCCTTGACATTTTGCCAGGAAACACTGTAACTGTTTGATATCTCTGATATATGACATCATCATGGAAAACATTATTGGTCAGTCTATTAAGATTACCCAGTTAAAAGGGCTTTTGACTATCTATTATTTTAACAGTACTGCCTAATATGGATTATTGTATTATAACTGTCTTTATTTTAATTATATATATGTTATTTATTCAGGTTTCATGAATTACATTTAGCGGGGTTTTTTTTAACAGTCAGCTCCTGTATGGTCTTTTGATATACTGTATTTTTGGTGCAAACTAGGGCTGTACCCGAATATCCGAATATTCGTTCGTTGGAGTACTATTCGGGTTTCAATTTCGTTATTCGGATATTCGTTTTTTCTTTTTCTTTTTTTTTTTTAAATTGAATTTATTGAAATCTCCAATATCAACGTAAGAGCTTGTACCTCTTCGGGGGGTACAAACACTTAACCATAAACTTTATCGTTTACTTTCTCCGTCTTTATATGTAGATATGACTTTTCTCCGTTAAATCTCCGTCACGTTGTTTCCATAGCAACAACAACTTCCTGTCAACAGCGCTAACTATCCTTCAAAAATAAAAGCATGTCCACAGGGCCGGCCCTTGGCATAGGAAGTATAGGCGAATGCTAAGTGCACATCAACCCATCGGGGGCGCCGAAAATTTGGGAGAAAAAATCAAATTAAAATAAGTTAGAAATTTAAAAAGATTAATTATTTAAATTTCATAACAAAACAATTTCCCGATTTTGGATCAACAAAGTACATCTTATTATCTTATACTAACAGAACTACGCCTATATTGCGTACAGCGCCCATCAACTATGGCGCAGGGCCGGCCCTGCATGTCCATACAAAATAGGAAGCCAAGCCAAATTACACTTAAGACATATACAACTGCAACGAAAGTAACAAACACAATGCAATATCCTTTTAATTTTCAAAGAACACAAATTGGGTTATATACATTAACAAATAACTATAAAACAACAATAGTGTAGAATAACAAAATGAATGCCGTGAATAAACCGAAATACACGTGTTGAAGCGGTTCGCTGCTGATTACTACGCACGCCCCCCGAAAAATGGTATTCGGGACAGCCCTAGTGCAAACCTGAGCTAGACTGCTCCAGGGGAATAAGATGTACTACAAAAGTTGCTTTATAGATTCCATGTGTAAGAATGACTTGCAAAACAGCTTAACTTGATGAACATTTTTTAAACAAAAGAGCACTTTTAGGGAATTATAGATACATTTTCCTTTAAATTCTGCAATAAATAACCCTGATTCTAATTTTTGTATGTGAACACACAATGAGATAGAGAAAATGCACTTACTGTAATATCCATACAGCACAGTGTCTTCAATGTGCCCTCTTGTCTCATTGTTAGCTGCCCAATCCTAAATGTTACCAAAGAAAAACCATGGTGAAAAATTAAAATCAAGTTTAAAAGGAATGAAATAGGTATAATACTCAATGAGAATAGACATCCAGCTTAAATAAACAAAATGTAAAAAGAGTACAGCAATGACTATAAGAAATAGTGTTATTTTAACACAAACACAGAAGGTGTGTTGTATTTTCATATATAACCCTTCAAGATAGAGGCATAAAACAAATAATGCATTACATAACACATTACAAGACCCCTTTTCAGTGTCTTGGATTCATTCAAAATGCATTTATTGTCGAAAAACTCAAAGGACATACATGAATGCATACACACAGACACAGACTTTTCCCTATTTTGTTAGATTACAACATTTGAAAACCAATAGATTATGTTTGTAATTTAAGGATTATGTCCCTGGTGAGTTAACATGTGCATCTTATTTTAGGTCGCCTTGACTGAATTAACAGCTAAAAGTAGAGAGCACCTCACTGAAAGAAACAATTACCTGCTCTTCAAATGAAGATGCCAATACACACTTTGCTATATCTTCAAGTAGATAGAACAAATGCAATGACTTTGCACAAAATTGATGAGCCAAGAAATGAATTCAGCTTTTAGATTGGACTAAAACAACGTCCACTTTGTCTAATTCTAAGAAAATTACATAGCAAAGTTAAAAGCTGCCTCAGGGAAACTCGTTAGCATTTCGCAAATTGATTTTTACTGGAGCAGTTAGAAGAAAAGAGACTTACCTTATAGGTACCATTGGGAAACTTCATAAATGAAACAAGGAATATGTCCACGGGGAGAAGTGCAGAGGTTATCAAAGCAATGGCCAGTGCACATATTGCTGTGATAGTCGAAACAACTTCACTCTCCTGACGACTTTGAAATTTCCGAATGTAGAACCAACAAAAAGTCAGGATTACCTAAACAAGGGAAAAAACATTATGTTAAATCAAGTGGAAAATGATACCATCAGGAGGGATTGTAAATACAATATAAATAGTACACTTTCATTTTCGATTGGCAACACACTTAACAATTGATCAGTGTTTTAGTGCTATATTTCTATTGCACTTCATTATACTGTTTTCACAATATTGTGGCGTCTTCTGCCTGTTCAACAGTGCTTGGAAACGATTACCACCATGTGTGTGTTGATGATTGCCAAAAAGGAAATCAAACCAAACCAAGGTGTTAACACAACACTGGGGGATTATAAACCAGAATAGCCCGACTGCAGGTGATAGAAAAAACGATGATCTGATTATATCATACTCCCTTCTCTTATCCTGTCAGCACAAGTGTGAATGTAGACTCACAATAATTGTAAGGACTTACAAGAAATAACACAAAGTTAACTTTTCATAGTTTTTTTTTTTTTAAACTTTGAATTCATTAATTAATTTGCTCATGTATTCTGTTGCAGTTCATTGGAAAAAGGGGGGAAGAAGAAGGGAAAGGGATTATCCTAGTAACATGTAGGCAACTCAATAGGGAGACAAATAAGGGTCTTCGAAATGACAAGGTCATATTCACGGCACACAAGCTGTAGGAAGTGAGGACACTGCTAAAACTAGTCCCTTTAGATCAGGGGCTGCCATTCTCAGACAGGATCAATTAAAGTCCAGCAGCCTTAAGCCTCTGGCTGCTTGTTTTGCCAGGCAAAGAGCGGGCTTTGCATCCAAATAAGATCCACTGAAAGGTTTGTTCTAATAAAAAGGGCTGTAAGTGATGGGTGGTGGGGACACAGTATTGGCATCCGGGCATTCTCCTGGACGTCTTCTGATTAAGTCACGTGACTCTGAGTGACAGCTGAGATAATGTGTGCTAATTTGGGCAGCAGATTACTGAGACCAAGTTCAAATAAGTCAGTTAAGTAACGCTAACGTTTAAAGTAGAGTGGGCCAAAATCTGTTTACATAAACGGAAAGGTTGTATGTGTTTGAAGAATATGTGGTTACAGCAGCCTTATTAGCTTTTCAAGCAGCACCGCCATGACATATGTGAAGCGCATTTTAAAACCATGTGGTGAAAACTAACTACGCATTAGAACAGGTAGAAGCTGTCACCCAGAAAAGTTAAAAGGAGATGTTAATGTTCTGTACATTAGAACATAGTTGACAGCTATTTTCAAAATACTGCTGATTAACACTACCCCTGCTTTTAGTATGCAATTTAAGCGAATATAATTCTACATTGAGCACAACACAGCCTTTATGCTAAAGTGTGTCATGGCTAATGTTAGCTAAAATCAATCCCAAGCCAATATTGACGTTGATACACTGTAGCCTTTTCGTTTCGTAACACCTTAACCACGCCAGCTCTAGACCTGCTAAAACATCTCAAAGTATTTGTATGACAGCCCACAACTTAATGAAAACACTACACGACTGAAAATGTGCTTACCATAAGTATAAAAGTAAAAATAGACCACCCGAGCATAGACTCGGAGAGAAACGACTGACCCGCCATCTTCACTTCCTGCAATAACAAACCCACGTGATCCCGGTGACGTCATCACAGTGGAGGGCGAGCAGCAGTCGTGACGTGTCCGCAGAAAGTGCACAACGTCTGTAGATACTGTATCTCCACATGTATGCGAATGATTTTTACAGCAGTTTTATTGGAATCACACAGCTTCACTGGTGGTGGGACATTACGGCAAAACAGAGGAGCTGACAACTTTAAAGACCAGAAGCTGTCGATAGCAACAGTACCATACAAAATACCACCTTTTGCATAAAACCAAAGATCTGGGTCAGCAATCCTCGAAGTTGTTGTTTTATAAAAAAAACACCATCAGTGACAGATGAAATAAAATAAAAGTAGTCATACCAACACAAAAAATATCTGTTTTATAAGTTAAAGTTTGACTTTTAGAACTACAGAAGTATGATCAGAAAATGTTTCTTAAAGATTTCATAGATTTAAAATTGATTGCATATCTATTTTTATAGCATATAATATTATAAACAAGTTTGGTCATTATAATGTCTAAACATAATGTGCAGAATAACACAGTGTTAGGTATTCCCTAAGGCTAAGCATAGTTCTGCTGGTTCAATTTTTTTGAAAATGTTAATATCGATTTGGCATATGGTCCGACCAGTCAGCACCTAAGCAAACATTCAGTAATCATCCAGTCTATCCAGAAAACTAATGTGTTTTATTTCAGTTTTCAATTTGCTGAAAAGCTAGAAGTAGGTCGCTGTAAACTAGGTGCAGTGCACCTGTAGTTGCATTCCCATGTGTAGAGCAGATCATTGGGGTAATACTTGTCATCAATTATCCACCGCAGTGGCCCACACCAGTCAACAGCCACTGTTTGTGGGGCTGAAGCTAATCCCCATATGATATTGTATTCCTCGTAAAAATTATATTGTTAACATGCCAAACTTTTCCATATTAGAACAGCTGTCCAAGCAGTGGCTCCCTAGAAGCCTGTCTACGCTTTCTATACAATTGACTTTTTCAGATGACTTTGTCTTTATACAATACATATTTACATTAGGGTTATGGTTAATCTTCTTTTGGTCTCTCCTCTTTGGTTGGTCATTTTAATATTCTCTGTGATATATGCCTGATATTTTTTTGCTTACATTTCCAATAAGAAATATGCATAACCAATATTTATTTTCTTGTACCTCATACTGAAAACAATGTTTTGGGCATTTCTTCTATATTCTGTATCTCAACAACAAGAGAGTAGAAAGTCTAAACTCAACTTTAAATATCTATTTGAAGTGTAAACAAGTTATCCATAACTAGACCACATTTTACATTTTTCAGTGTAACATACTTAAAAGAAATAGAAATGACACTTTAGAGTCATGATATTCTGTTTCATTCAGCAGGGGATCCAGACTTATTCAGCAATGGGATTATATAAACTTTTCAAGACTCTATGAGTAGTGTATCAATCAGCTTGGGTTTTTTGTGCATGCAGAGTTTCTACCCATTTGCCAGGCACATTCACCATTTCTTCCATTTCTTATCCAATTTATCTTGCATTCAGACCCCATGGTATCTAAATATAAGGATTTCTTTCTGGCTTTATATTCTACCTCCCACTTCACAGTTTTAAGTGTGCACTTTCAGGAGAAGCCTACTCCATTCATGAAGTATATTGTCCCTTAAATTACAACAGTATTAGAGTGTGCAATCATGCTTCACCATGTCTGGAATTATTGAGACCAAATTAAATTATTACTCAAGTAATTACTTTTGCAAGTGACATTGAGGCTTCAAAGTTTCTGAAAGTAATACTTCTCTAAATTATATTGCAAGAAATTGGTCTGCTACTAATTTCAAATGAAGAACACCAGTTAATTAGTCGGTCACTATTGGACACTTTCAAATTTAAATCACTAAAATCAATAACCATATATCTAAACTTCATTTATGCTACTGTCTTGAAACTTTTAATTAGACTAATGTAATTCATTCAACCCATTATTCACTTCACAGGGGAGGTATAGGTCATCTTAATTCATGCAACCTTTCATAGCTTCATATCAGGAGGCTTGGCAACGTGCCCTAATGGAAATCATGTACCTTATATTATAAGGCCTTAGCTGAGAAAAAGGTATGAAACATCCAAATAGTTGTCAATCAAGTAATGATTTGGGCTATAGCCTAATAGTTTATTGATGTTTATGCTCTTTTTCTTTTCATTTCATAATGACACTATACGTTGCAGGGGTTGCTGCAGTGAGCCGGTCACAAAACCAATGTTATATAAACACAGGCGAAGCCCTCTACTGGAATCTATGGGTACTCCCTTGATCCTATCATGCAAGCATTCATCCACTGAGACTTTCTAGACGTAGCCGGCCCCGGGGCGGGCCTACCTGAATGCGCGCACATCTCACCGCATAAAAGGAGGCCTCGCCTCCTGACTGTCATCCCTTTCTCTTCAGCAAGCAAGAGAGACACAACTGAGTGAAGAGAGACGAATACATTTAAGCAAAACAACGAAGAAAATGGACTCACCATTGCTGGAGTAGCGGCCCTGTCCTTCGTGTCCGGGCGCCATTGCAGGCGCCGACCTCCACCGCCAGTGCATTGAATGCCTAGGGTCCGACCACGCGGCGGCCAACCTGGGCCCGCTTACGGTCTGCAGCGCCTGCCGTCTAATTCCTCGGCTCAGCCGCCATCAGCGTCTGGCGCAGTTTGAGGACTGCTACAGTACGTCTCGCCGGTGGAGGACCCAGAGCTCGTCGTGGTGGAGATGGAGGACCAGGAGGAGGGAGTGCCCTTCGTGTTCGCCATACCAGCGGACCGGGCGGGTCCGCTCGTCGGGGAGAGGGACGACGATGGCGACACCTTGTCGTCTGATGTTTCCGGCGACCGCCAGGAAGGCCAGCAGCACAGGTCTGCGCGACAGGACTTCCCGGCGGTGATGACTATGGCGGCGGTGCGTGCGGGCTTCGGGTGGGCAGAGGGGAGAAGGCCCCTGCCCCCGCTGCCTCGTGACCGCGAAATGCTTGAGTATCTGGATAAGATGTTCAGGCTCGGGGCACAGATGAATAATCTGGTCCACGGTATGGCTACCGGAGCCGGTCGTGTAATGTCCCTGGCCACCGTGGCGTCACGTGTGGCTAGGTCTGACCGCACTGGCCAAGAAAGACCGAGACGATCTCCTTGGGGCCCCCGTTACCACGGAAGGGCTCTTCGGATCAATATCCTCGGTCACCCAGCGCTTCAGCCGCCTGGAGGGAGAGAAGGCGCAGCTCAGCCGCATGCTGCCGCTGGCTCGCCCTCAGGCCTCTCCGCAAGGGAGAGAGCGCCAGGAGGTGGTAAGGCGGAGAGAGAGGCCTCCGCGGTCCGTCCCGAGGAACCGACCCAGTACCGGCCCTCACGGGGACAGGCTGACCGAACCCGGCGGGCTCCGGCTCCGGCTCCGGCTCCGGCTCCGGCTCCGGCTCCGGCTCCGGCTCCGGCTCCGGCTCCGGCTCCGGCTCCGGCTCCGGCTCCCGCTCCCGCTCCCGCTCCCGCTCCCGCTCCCGCTCCCGCTCCCGCTCCCGCTCCGACCTCCGCTCCTGTTTGATCCCACTGTGGCAAGGTCATCTTTTGTAAACAATAAAAGAGATTGCTTGTATTCCAGTCTGAGTGTCTTTTCTTTCCACACACCCACACAGCCACGTAATGTTGACCGTACAGATTCCCCAATCGCTGCCCAGGTTGTAACTCCAGTAAAGGAGGCAGCTAGTGCACATGCGCGGGTGAGAGTGATAAACCGTGCTATGCGGGTACAGGGACATTATGGCCGGCGTAGCAGTGTTAGGAAACATTTAACGCTGAGTGTAAAAACTCCGCTTGATGCATTTCACTGTTTGGGTGAAAGCATCATGGTGGAGCGCGTGCTCCCACGACAGCGCACCGCGGCGCGTTCAAGGTCCTCAGTAGAGAGTCGGCCCTTTCTGTGTCGACCCCCCTTCCCTTCACGGGGAGTTTTGCGGCGGGACGGGTCACCATGGAGTACCACAGCTTTATCGCTGGGGCCCCGCAGCTGATTGACAGTCAGGAGGCGAGGCCTCCTTTCATGCGGTGAGATGCCATCTGTGCCCCGAGCCTGAACATCTTATCCAGATACTCAAGCATTTCGCGGTCACGCGGCAGCGGGGGCAGGGGCCTTCTCCCCTCTGCCCACCCGAAGCCCGCACGCACCGCCGCCATAGTCATCACCGCCGGGAAGTCCTGTCGCGCAGACATGTGCTGCTGGCCTTCCTGGCGGTCGCCGGAAACATCAGACGACAAGCGACGAGTCCGCTGGTATGGCGAACACGAAGGGCACTCCCTCCTCGTGGTCCTCCATCTCCACCACGACGAGCTCTGGGTCCTCCACCGGCGAGACGTACTGTAGCAGTCCTCAAACTGCGCCAGACGCTGATGGCGGCTGAGCCGAGGAATTAGACGGCAGGCGCTGCAGACCGTAAGCGGGCCCTGGTTGGCCGCCGCGTGGTCGGACCCTAGGCATTCAATGCACTGGCGGTGGAGGTCGGCGCCTGCAATGGCGCCCGGACACGAAGGACAGGGCCGCTACTCCAGCAATGGTGAGTCCATTTTCTTCGTTGTTTTGCTTAAATGTATCCGTCTCTCTTCACTCAGTTGTGTCTCTCTTGCTTGCTGAAGAGAAAGGGATGACAGTCAGGAGGCGAGGCCTCCTTTTATGCGGTGAGATGCGTGCGCATTCAGGTAGGCCCGCCCCGGGGCCGGCTACGTCTAGAAAGTCTCAGTGGATGAATGCTTGCATGATAGGATCAAGGGGAGTACCCATAGAGTCCAGTAGAGGGCTCCGCCTGTGTTTATATAACAAGGGTTACCATACGTAACCCCTCGTTACCTACTCCATGTTTTATCACAAGGATGATAATTCATAGTTTCTCCTCCACCTCTCATCCACTCTTTTTCTGACATCCTAACCAGCTTTCTCATCCAGGCTGAAAAAGCACAAGAGACGCTGCAGAAATAGCTTCCAATTTGTCCAAAAGCTTTGGCCCTGAAGCGCTTGCTCCCCTATCAAATTTGTCCTTTAATTCTTCAAATTAAAATGCACTGCCACC